GACACGCCGTGATATGACTGGAATACTGTTAAAAGCGGCGTTAAACCCAACTCACTCACTCACTCCAAGAAGCATGTGCCATATATGGGAGTGATACTGCGATTTATCAATGAAACAAGCCAGGTTCTCATTGTTGACCTGCCTGACATCGAAGTGTATTAATCCCATTGGTGTAACTGTATGCAAATTATATTGCCAGTCTGGGACACTAGCAAAATATTACCCAATGAAATATCGTAACATGATCACATGATTACATTCTCGTGAAACTTGACCCAGTTCATTTTGTGTGCTCTACATGTCCATAGAAAACGTATATTACTCAGCTGACATCTAAACCTTACTTGGCATGGGCGTCGCGCAATGTATTTGCAAACCCCTGAATGCAACTGCAGCCTGTAGTGCTCATGGCGGGGTATAAGAGATTTATTCCCCCTCTGAGAAATTAATCACCCTCCAGGGCAGGTTATGCAGTATTTTATCAGATCTCATCATTCTGACATGGAGGTATGATAATGACAGATTGAAAAGAAAACAAGCAATAAGAATACATGATAATAAAAAAACATATTTACTGTAAAATGCTCTTTAAAGAAGTGAAATCACAGGCAGATCAATTATTGTAAGTACAAATAGAGGTCTTTACAGTCCGAAGAAGCCTTCTGAAATCAATATATGATCGGACTCATTGCAAGAAATTTGGCAGGCAATTCCAGACTCTGGAGGCCTCATAAATAAATGTATTTCTCTGAAATGTTGATGTTTTTACTGGGGTGATGTTTGCTGTAAACTCCTGCCTGAGGGAGCAGGTAGATTGCCTTAAATTATCAAATTGGGAATTTACATGGGTGACATATTGTTAACAGTTCCTGTGCCATATTCATTAGGTGATTTACATAGTGATAGTGCAAGCTAAAGACATGTACTAGGGCCTACCACAAACTTTTCAAACATGTGACAATACCCTATGAAGTAATTTGTTGTATTTTTTTGCAAGTCACAATGCCCTGTGATGTCAGGGGTCATCGAGTCAATCTCATTAAAATCAGATCTTAGTTCTCGCTACCGCTAAACAAAGATTTGAGGACATCCCATTACAGGTCACGTCAGCATGACCTTTCATCCAACCAATCAGAGCGTCGCTTACCAGATCCTGAAAGTGACAGTCGGAATGTGTTTTCTAATCATGCAACCTCGAAATATTTAACACGGGCTATTCCGAACGACAGTTACAGGTTTTATGATTATATCCATACATTCAAGGCCATCTATGAGCCATTCCAGAATGTTGTTTTGGTCAGTTTTAAATTTTTTAATCGAGAATATGTCAAAATAAGCGTCGTTGCCAGTTTGAAACTAGTGCCGTAAAGCTCGAGATAGCTGCCTTCTGATTGGCTAATGTCTATTTCATGTCAGTCATTTCATTGGTCGGTCAATGTTTGCGAAAGATCGTTCTGATGTGACCCGTAATGGGATGTCCTCAGATCTTTTGTTAGCTGTAGCGAAAACTAAGATCTGATTTTAATGAGATTGTCATCGAGTGTGCATAAGCTCCTCCCAGTGATCTATCATTATCCCCCGCCGCGCGAAAGCGCGAAGCGGGGGATATAGTATTCACGACTGTCCGTACGTCCGTCCGTACGTCCCACCTGTTTGTTGCCGCGATATCTCAAGAACTAAACACTGGATTGTCTTCATATTTGGAACTATGGTGTATATACAGACTCCGCAGACACCAGTCGGTTTTGGTGACCTTGATCCCATTTTCAAGGTCACAGCAGACAAATCTGCTTTTAGAGTTGGAAAACGGTGTTGCCGCGATATCTCAAGAACTAAACACTGGATTGTCTTCATATTTGGAACTATGGTGTATATACAGACTCCGCAGACACCAGTCGGTTTTGGTGACCTTGATCCCATTTTCAAGGTCACAGCAGACAAATCTGCTTTTAGAGTTGGAAAACGGTGTTGCCGCGATATCTCAAGAACTAAACACTGGATTGTCTTCATATTTGGAACTATGGTGTATATACAGACTCCGCAGACACCAGTCGGTTTTGGTGACCTTGATCCCATTTTCAAGGTCACAGCAGACAAATCTGCTTTTAGAGTTGGAAAACGGTGTTGCCGCGATATCTCAAGAACTAAACACTGGATTGTCTTCATATTTGGAACTATGGTGTATATACAGACTCCGCAGACACCAGTCGGTTTTGGTGACCTTGATCCCATTTTCAAGGTCACAGCAGACAAATCTGCTTTTAGAGTTGGAAAACGGTGTTGCCGCGATATCTCAAGAACTAAACACTGGATTGTCTTCATATTTGGAACTATAGTGTATATACAGACACCGCAGACACCGCAGACACCAGTCGGTTTTGGTGACCTTGACCCCATTTTCAAGGTCACAGCAGGCAAATCTGCTTTTGGAGTTGGAAAACGGTGTTGCCGCGATATCTCAAGAACTAAACACTGGATTGTCTTCATATTTGGAACTATAGTGTATATACAGACTCCGCAGACACCAGTCGGTTTTGGTGACCTTGATCCCATTTTCAAGGTCACAGCAGGCAAATCTGCTTTTGGAGTTGGAAAACGGTGTTGCCGCGATATCTCAAGAACTAAACACTGGATTGTCTTCATATTTGGAACTATAGTGTATATACAGACTCCGCAGACACCAGTCGGTTTTGGTGACCTTGATCCCATTTTCAAGGTCACAGCAGGCAAATCTGCTTTTGGAGTTGGAAAACGGTGTTGCCGCGATATCTCAAGAACTAAACCTCTCGATTGTCTTCATATTTGGAACTATGGTGTATATACAGACACCGCAGACACCAGTCGGTTTTGGTGACCTTGACCCCATTTTCAAGGTCACAGCAGGCAAATCTGCTTTTGGAGTTAGAAAACGGTGTTGCCGCGATATCTCAAGAACTAATCGCTGGATTGTCTTCATATTTGGAACTATAGTGTATATACAGACACCGCATACACCTGTCAGATTTGGTGACCTTGACCCCATTTTCAAGGTCACAGCAGGCAAATCTGTTTTTGGAGTTGGAAAACGGTGTTGCCACAATATCTCAAGAACTAATCGCTGGATTGTCTTCATATTTGGTACTATGGTGTATATGGCGGGGGATATTTCGTCACTCTGTGACAAATACTTGTCTCTACACGCAACGTCATTGAATACGCCCAGTGGTGTTGAGAGTTTTGAATATTTGTTTACTAAAAGTAGCCTGCGGTGGCGCATTTATAGCAAGCACTAGTTTACCAAAGCACTTTATTTTTATACATTTTTTTTTTCGTTTTTCTGGTAATTCAAGTGGCTAAATTGTTTTAAATGAGAACTAATATACATATGTTATTGTTTCGGTTCATTAATTTTCATTATTACGCACAAGAATGCAGTTTATTAAGGATATTATATTGGCCCTGAACACATCCAATTGTCACCAGTGTTAGGGTAGGTTACCCCGAACTCTATCCTTAGCCCTTGGTTCCCCTTTACGATCAATCACCCCTTTCCGATCATTAGGGTGAGGTACCCCTTTAGAGGCTATGAGATTACCCGAACTCTATCCTTCGCCCTTGGATCCCCTTTACGATCAATCACCCCTTTACGATCATTAGGGTGAGGTACCCGTTTAGAGGCTATGAGATAATCCGAACTCTATCCTTAGCCCTTGGATCCCCTTTACGATCAATCACCCCTTTACGATCATTAGGGTCAGGTACCAGTTTAGAGGCTATGAGATTATCCGAACTCTATCCTTAGCCCTTGGATCCCCTTTACGATCAATCACCCCTTTACGATCATTAGGGTCAGGTACCTGTTTATTGGCTATTATAGATTCTATAGTGGCTCCTAATATTCTTCACACAAAAACGTCAAATAAAAAGGATAAAATGGTTTTGTGTCGAATAGTTTGGTTACTGGAAACTGTCCTGGAACATTCACACAAGACACTTTCACTGGTTACATTTTTTCAGTACTGATTCAAAAGTGAACTCACCGTTGTGTCGTCACTAGCCATGCTCATGCTTCCCTCGTTCCTTACTCTTATCCACATCATCTTACAGTGTTCCCTACCACACCTTTCTGTCACAAAATCCACACGACATATTATTATATACCATGTCATCCATGCATACTCCCGAGTTTGATGTCTGACGTCTGACACCTGGAGCTGTTTTCATATCGGATCATTCCTCGACACACGGTATCTTGTAGATTACGGAATGGGACGAGTGTGCCAAATGGCATTGGGATCATTCGTAAGTGTCCGTAGACTAAAGTCAAGAGACACCATGCCTACCCGTAACCTTTGTAAGTGTCCGTCACCTATTCGACCCTTTTTGTCCAGTTCTATAACATTGTGGGCATGACTAGGTAAATTTGCACTTTGTTTCACCGTGTGGACGTAGCTCAGTCGGTTAGCTGTCGGGCTAACAATCCAAGGTCGCGAGTTCACGTCCAACGGATTCTCACAAAAACTGATTGCTTGTCTTTGAGACATGTGACCTATGACAGAGATCGTCCTAACAAGAAGTTGCAGTACTGTATTCTAAAGGTACTCCTGTACTAGATATATATTTATTCATTCTCAGACAATGGAGGTTCGTTTCATGGTATCTGTAAGTAACTTCATCATGGTTACTGTAAATAGTTGGTGTGATCTGCATGTCATTCAACACTCTATATCACAACAGTTCACTGATGTAACAATATTGAATGATTCTTTAGTAAAATAACCAGATTGTGTATTAGCATGACTAGCTAGCATACTTCGGTACAGATCTTGTTGATATGCTTTTTCTTCTGTTACATGCCAGCAGTAATGTCTTTGCTTTGTCACTGTTAACCTCTTCGTCATAAATCAGTCCTTGTATTCAACCAAAGACTTGTCAGAATTTGTCATCATCGATTGCTTGGTATTTCCGACATACAAAACAATTCTGCCATTTAAACTTGTAGTTTGTATGTTGTGTTGCAGGTTTCTGGGTGTGTGTGTTCATGAAGGCCAGCTGCATGCACTGACTGAGGTAGGAACCACGCAATGTACTTTAGTCACCAGTGTTCTCTGTAATAGGATTGTGGAGTATAGCATTTGAATCAATAGTTAAATAAACAGAATCTGCATCTCTTAACCAATATTAATGAAAGCAAAAAGGCTCATTTCTTGTGATGCTTCAGCCCAAAGGGCTTTGTGTGATCATGCTACGTTTTTAGGTGTTGTGTTTTTTCAATCTGTAGAATCTAAGTCCTTTCGCAAAATATTAAGAAAACACATGGGACAGAAAAAGTAACAGTAGAAAGTAGCAGGGCTCCAGATAAGACGTATGTGCGGATGAAAATATGCACGATACGGTGGGGGATAATTTAGAAAACGTATCAGATACGCATCGCAGAATACATGTACGGTCTAACATTCATGTATGGATATATTTAAAAAAAATATATCCTTGATTTCAAGCAGCATATTTTATTGAGTATAGTGTGCATGTTTTCCAGAAAACACTGTTGTGTAAAGGGGGTGCGCATTATACACATCCCCAAAGCAAAGATATTACTGTGAGCACATAACACCGGAAATACCATGACAAGAAATCGGTACTGAAATACGCAAATTAATCAGGTAATAACACTGTCTGGTTACAAAAAGTGTTCATTGTTTATTTGGACTTATGTTTGTAACCCATTTTATTTTTATTCAAATTTTATTTCAATATTGTTTACATTAATTTCGGCGAAATCATGTCGGTACAAGCGCAGGAGCCTTGACGGTGACTGGTTATATTGTTCCATACATAAAAAACTATCCGGTAATAGCGATCAGCTGCACCTATAGTCTGGAAGGTAATTTAAGGTATCGACGTTTACTACAATATCTGAAAAACTATCGGACCTACTCCAGTCAAAGTTGGTATGAGATTATTAAACAGTCATACATAACTGGATATTACATTTAAAGACAATCGGTGCATGAATGAAAAATCTGTCTATTTAGCTATCACTATATTTCATCAACAACCAGACCTGTTCGTCACAGGTGGAACGAGCATTCATTGAAACAGCCATCTGCATAATGCTACCCATGCGTCACAGGGCCATATGACACAGTTGAACCAATCAACTCAACTCGAAAGGGTGCACGGGAATCACGCACGCACGAATACAGTGTTAGGGTTGGGCGTCTCAAAAAAAAGATACTGAATACCTTAGGGTGGGGTGCGCATAATACAACAGACATACATGTTAACGAAAGAATGTATTATTCATTGTTTATTGACTTATTTAAACGAGATCGACAATGCTGTGGTGCATATCTAAAATGAAATACAAGATTAATCCATTAAATTGCATTCAGTACTCTGAGTGTACTCTTTAGTTTTGCCAGTACTCCTATATTGAAAAAAAAAGAGGAGTACGTACTCCTGATACTGAAAAATTATCTTGAACCCTGAAGAGCACATGGTCTCTTTACAACATACCTTCAATGTACATACATTTATTACAGTGCAGAAAGGGATTCTATTGTGATGTTGTGTTATGTTTCTATGTTTCTCCAGTTATTTGATGTCATCTGTCACTTCAAGACTGGAATAAATAGAGGATATTTCATGTTTTGAGTGAAATATCATGTTTCTCACATAGAGTGAGGGGGATCAAGGAGATAAAACCTCCTCCTCTCTCTCTCTCTCTCTCTCTCTCTCTCTCTCTCTCTCTCTCTCTCTCTCTCTCTCTCTCAAGAAGTGACATTAACTCCATTGATGACTATCCGTCATTATTTTGCTTTGTCAATGTGGAACTAACGTAAAAAGGACATCAACCATCTGTGTACGGGCTTCACTCTTTTAGGGGACAATTTAAGGGGATGTAACTCTTGTATGACAATAGTTCCGTCAAGTGTTATGTTCATTCCAGTGAAATATCAAGTGTTATGTTCTCTGCAATGAAAATATCACTTTTCTCAACTTCAGAAACCTCAGTCTTTCACACTGAAGTATATAATAAAGGATATGGAAATGTTAAAAAATGATATGAAAGCAGTCCATATGCTTTGTCTTGAATTGAAACAGCTGAGTGGGTGTCCCCTCTGTGTAATATCATCTATCTACACATATTGTGAACCTCTTGTGTAAATAGTACAATATATACCTGGACCTCTTGCAGACTGGGCTTCCAGGGTTACTGAAGTATCTCATGCAAGGGGTGTCTTAAAATGTATATATTTTGTCTCTGTTGTGGCTGACATACTACTTTTGAAAGCTGTAATTGGTATAGGCACCTCCTCCCATCATAAAATGGCTGACAAGCTAATATTTGATAGACTACTAACTACACTTCAGTACAACAAGGTCATACAATTGAGAAAATATTATCAATCTGTCATTTTGTCTGTCATAAATTACATGTTCATAAAACAAAAATCATTATGAGATCATTCTCTGAGTGCACAGAAACATTTTGTCACTGATGTTGATTGTTAGCTTTCTAAATATACCTGACTGTGCACCACTTGCTACAGAATGTGGAGGCTAATCCATGAGTAGAGCCACGTGGTCATGCTGACCCAGTTGGTAGTAGGGGTTGTAGTGTGCGATGAGGAAGCAAGTCAGGTGTTCCCAGTGCTTGTATCAGCAGCTGTACCTGCCTTCTCCTCCTCCTCACACCTACACAGAATGCCAGCCAGAGGAATAACCTCAACAGCAAAGTAAATATATTTACAGCATTCCACCGCCCATCAGTTAACTGCTGTCTTTATCACAGATGTTCTACTACTAATTCAGCATTGTTAGAACTGTATACGTTTAGGAATATATTCATAATTTCTCTGCCTCTATCATCCTTCATTCCTCAGTTCTGGGAAGAGACAAAATGAAAATGTCTTTAATAATGTATGTCTGGAAATGAGGCTGGATATTGATGGGAGTGGAAGCTGGGCCAGGAGTTAGGACTAGAAGGACAACTTCTGGACAATGAGGTATACATTGCTCACCTACGTAATCTGATGGGGATGAAGGTCATGGAATATTAAGCCTTACCTTGATGTGGGCCTCACAAAAACCAGCTTGAGACAAACAGGTGTTGGTTGATACGTCAGCAGACATGTGCATGTAAGACTGAACCTGACTGTCATCTAGGACTCTTTATTTGACCAGATATAGAAGAAAATCTTGATATTTGCTTTAGTGCCAAGGCAATCCCTATCATTATGTGTGAAGTAACTGGTGAATTGATTGGTATTGCTTTGTTAATGTACTTCATTTTTCTGCCTCCGATATACTAGGTCCTTCCTCATTCCTTGTAAAAGTAGCTATGCCAACTTGGCATGTTTACTGATAGTGTTACGTCTTGTTTACTCAAATGTAAAAATATTTTGCAAACATTCTTATAGCAGTCTGATGAGGTACAGAGCCTAATAGTTCTAAGATTGTAATTGATGTTAACAAGTAATACTCTAAGATGTAGAGGAGGTAGCATTTCCACAAACTGATGTCAACAATAAACTGAAATTTTGTCATGACAAGTTAATAATCTTGATTATTGTTCAAATAGTGATGTGAACAAGTGTAGGTTACCAAATGTATGTAAACTAAAAGTATGTGGTAAATAGATTTGGGGAGTGTATAACATTTTTCAGACACAAGAGAGAACTTGAAATCTCTGACTGACACCACATCTGTTGCATCACAACGGGTATTGTGATATAATCATTGATACAATTTGTGTTGTTTAGAACAAGGGGTTTTCCTTTAGGGGTGCCCACTTGAGGTTTGGTTATGCTGTAGCTGTGCTGCACACATTCAATGCCTCCTCACATCTGTATGAGAAAGTATGTTGTTTGAGTATATACCGTGACTTACGTTGTTCTGAGGGATTATTATGGATTCACTAATTGCTAACATCACTTCATTCTCATTCTCTTCACCTACGCCAAAGAGTTCACATTTAATTTGTCATGACAGAATGGATATAGACATCCTGTAGTTTCAGTGTAGAGCTATAGTACATGTAGATTTGATCATGACTGAGGAATTGGCTTCAAGTTTAGATCCAATACATTACAGAAAGTGCCATTAACACATCTCTACAATATCTCTGACTACCCCCTAATTGACATTTGGTGGGCCACAATTATTCTTTCATGAAACTCATGTATACATACATAAGGCATGTACTGAACTGGTGCCTCTTGCTATTCCGGAATTTTTGAATTTTATGAAAAATTATCCTTCCAAGGCAACGAATTTGGCTTATGTTCAAGTCAATAAAGTCTTCATTTCCAGGGCATAACTTGTAAACCATTTGTATTTCCACACTTTGCAATCAAGTGGTCAACAGAAAACAAAAATACTTTTATGTTTTTTTCTATTTCCATTAAAATAATTATTACTTCATCTCATTTAGGGGATAAGATTTCTGTAGTATCATGCAGAATGTCTTCAGGAATCTCCTCACATATTGAACTAGTGGTATCTTTTGCTACTAATGAATTGAAAACATCCTATTTCATTTGGAAACCATTTTTACTTAGTCTCAGTTGCAGATGGATATTTTAGTTGAGATATCTCAAAACAATATATTGAGCATAGATGTTTTTTGTATTCAGAATCACCCCTATACCAATGTATTTTCATGAAACTATGTATCATTGTAGTATTACACAGGTGGCAAGTCTTACACTCAGCAATGTTCAGTAGAACAATCATTTGCAGGCATGTGAGTATTTCATGCTTGTGTGTTGTAAGTATTTTCATTCAGGAGAACAACTTCCCTTTTTCTCATCATGGAAGATTTATGTGTAGTGTATATGATACACTATATGGGTTGTTTATATAGAGAGTGCTTGTTCCTGTATGTAAGTTGTTGACTTCCCACTGCACATGATGGGTGAGACAGCAGACAGACCGCAGGAAGTGCTCACTTGACTGTGCTAGGTCCAACACCACATCGAGTTGTACACAGGACACAGCTTGCTTAACTTGACTCAGCTCACTCTGTACCCTGACTGTTGATCATGATGACCCCTGATGCAGACAGACTCTCAGCTCACTCTGTACCCAGACAGCTGATCATGATGACCCCTGATGCAGACAGACACTTAGCTCACTCTGTACCCAGACAGCTGATCATGATGACCCCTGATGCAGACAGACTCTCAGCTCACTCTGTACCCAGACAGCTGATCATGATGACCCCTGATGCAGACAGACTCTCAGCTCACTCTGTACCCAGACAGCTGATCATGATGACCCCTGATGCAGACAGACACTTAGCTCACTCTGTACCCAGACAGCTGATCATGATGACCCCTGATGCAGACAGACTCTCAGCTCACTCTGTACCCAGACAGCTGATCATGATAACCCCTGATGCAGACAGACACTTAGCTCACTCTGTACCCAGACAGCTGATCATGATAACCCCTGATGCAGACAGACACTCAGCTCACTCTGTACCCAGACAGCAGATCATGATGACCTCTGATGCAGACGGACACTCGGCTCACTCTGTACCCAGACAGCTGATCATGATGACCCCTGATGCAGACAGATGCTCGGCTCACTCTGTACCCAGACAGCTGATCATGATGACCCCTGATGCAGACAGACTCTCGGCTCACTCTGTACCCAGACAGCAGATCATGATAACCCTGATGCAGCCAGACGCTCGGCTCACTCTGTACCCAGACAGCTGATCATGATGACCCCTGATGCAGACAGACACTTAGCTCACTCTGTACCCAGACAGCTGATCATGATGACCCCTGATGCAGACAGACTATCAGCTCACTCAATACCCAGACAGCAGATCATGATAACACCTGATGCAGACAGACACTCGGCTCACTCTGTACCCAGACAGCAGATCATGATGACCTCTGATGCAGACGGACACTCGACTCACTCTGTACCTAGACAGCTGATCATGATGACCCCTGATGCAGACAGACACTCGGTTCACTCTGTACCAAGACAGCTGATCATGATGACCCCTGATGCAGACAGACTCTCAGCTCACTCTGTACCCAGACAGCTGATCATGATAACCCCTGATGCAGACAGACTCTCAGCTCACTCTGTACCCAGACAGCTGATCATGATGACCCCTGATGCAGACAGACACTCGACTCACTCTGTACCCAGACAGCTGATCATGATGACCCCTGATGCAGACAGACACTCAGCTCACTCTGTACCCAGACAGCTGATCATGATGACCTCTGATGCAGACAGACACTTAGCTCACTCTGTACCCAGACAGCAGATCATGATAACCCTGATGCAGACAGACGCTCGGCTCACTCTGTACCCAGACAGCTGATCATGATGACCCCTGATGCAGACAGACACTCGGCTCACTCTGTACCCAGACAGCTGATCATGATGACCCCTGATGCAGACAGACTCTCCGCTCACTCTGTACCCAGACAGCTGATCATGATGACCCCTGATGCAGACAGACACTCGGCTCACTCTGTACCCAGACAGCTGATCATGATGACCCCTGATGCAGACAGACTCTCAGCTCACTCTGTACCCAGACAGCTGATCATGATGACCTCTGATGCAGACAGACACTCGGCTCACTCTGTACCCAGACAGCTGATCATGCTGACCCCTGATGCAGACAGACTCTCAGCTCACTCTGTACCCAGACAGCTGATCATGATGACCCCTGATGCAGACAGACACTCGGCTCACTCTGTACCAAGACAGCTGATCATGATGACCCCTGATGCAGACAGACTCTCAGCTCACTCTGTACCCAGACAGCTGATCATGATAACCCCTGATGCAGACAGACACTTAGCTCACTCTTTACCCAGACAGCTGATCATGATAACCCCTGATGCAGACAGACTCTCAGCTCACTCTGTATATGACAGCTGATTATGGTGACCCCTGATGCAGACAGACACTCAGCTCACTCTGTACCCAGACAGCTGATCATGCTGACCCCTGATGCAGACAGACTCTCAGCTCACTCTGTACCCAGACAGCTGATCATGATGACCCCTGATGCAGACAGCCACTCGGATCACTCTGTACCCAGACAGCTGATCATGATGACCCCTGATGCAGACAGACACTCGGCTCACTCTGTACTCAGACAGCTGATCATGATGACCCCTGATGCAGACGGACTCTCAGATCACACTCGGCTCACACTGTACCCAGACAGCTGATCATGATACTCGACGCAGATGGACTCTCGGCTCACACTCGGCTCACACTGTACCCAGACAGCTGATCATGATACTCGACGCAGATGGACTCTCGGCTCACACTGTACCCAGACAGCTGATCATGATACTCGACGCAGATGGACTCTCGGCTCACACTCGGCTCATACTGTACCCAGACAGACTGTTCTGTAAATGATCTCGTGATCAGCTGTCTGGTTCAAGACGAACCACAGGAAGAGTGCGGCCTCTTCTGGGTGATTTATGTGAATTTGCTGTTTTTACTAACAGATGTATGGCCCATACAAGGCCCATATATGGAGGCTGCAGTGTCTTCTTTTCAGATTTTATTGTTGGAGACCAATGGCTATTCAATAAACTTACCAGCCCATGTTTGTCCCGCATATGACTGTTAATGCCATGGAATGGCAGACATATAATGATGTTTAACAAACACCTTCAGCAGAACTAAATATCCTGGATGCAGGTCATAGCGAGCGTGGTGTGTGTGGTCTCAGCAGCAGTCTTCTTTACTATAACTGGCAGGGCTGGGTGCATTGCATCACACACAATAATACAAGGGAATGCTTCTAACTATTTGCTTACCTAAAGACATGTAAGGAAATGCTGATTGAGTCAAGCCATGTAGCTACCATGTTGGTACGTTGAACTGGATCATCAGATGTAATTGACTTGGTTCCAGAAAAATAATATCTTTATGATATCTGTATCATATTATCATAATATCATTCTTAAAATAATCAAAGTTTAAGATGTATTTTTCATGTTTTTACTAACTGAATTTTCTTTGCAAACCATGTATTACCGGTAATATACTGCAAGAGTTAGGAAAAGTCATGGTCGCATTCCTTCCTGTCTCACTACAGTGTACTATTATCATATTGTGCCAACGCCTTGAACACATTTTGATTATTGTGAATCTCAAGGAAAAATTATAAACATGTGATGATCAACAATCACAGTTTCATTCAGTACTGGAACAGTCTACAACACAGCTGCTTCCGATGCCAATAGGTCACACGACCGTCATAGCGAGGGAAACTCAACTGGTGAATGTCAACAGCGTGAAAGTCGTGAAATTCTTGACTGCTGTCTGACTCAATGAAAGCTATATGCCTGTAGTTGCGAAGGAGGTGTAGTCCCTTCAACTGTGTTGATATTTATGGTGATATTCCCACCATGAACGGGAACTGCAAACTGTATTCACTCATGATGCAGAGACTGTCATTTCATACAGTGGCACGAGACATGTGGGGCATCGATGGATGGATACCCTAAACTGGCAATCTGTATGTTCTGTCATATCAGATAGGACAATATTTATTGTGTTTGTTGCAATGTAAAAGGGGTTATCTATACCACAATAATCAAAGGGTCGTATAGACTGGTACACATTGTAGACACCTGTTCAGATTTTCAAGATTGGCCCACATTTTCGGCTCTATATTCCTCTTAATGCCTAGACGTATTTTGGATTGTTTCTCATTGAATCTTGTGTATTCGCCACCATTTAAATCCGTTCCTAAGGAAATATTTCCCAAATGCATTTTCCTGTGTTTGTCACTACCATGGAGATCACATTGTATCATTGAATTGTATTATGTTGAAAAATGAGGCTTTTTGGATCGATGTTGTTTGTTTTCCTACAGGATATGTACAGTATGAGCAGTGATGAGTGTTATCAACGTTTCAGTTCATCAATGGTGGGAACTTGGAGCAGCTGTTGGCGAAGTGGGAGGAGGAGCTGCCGTGGACTCAGCGGATCAGCCTGGCGCTGGACATGGCACGAGGTGTCGACTATCTCCACTCACGGGGCTTCTTCCACAGGGATCTCACCTCCAAGGTAACTTCACCTGACCCCCAAAGCATGGGCAGTTGTATCGTTTACCCAACTGCTCACCTTTTGGTCAATAGCCTAGCCAAGCTTATCTGATTGTTTAGTATATCTTGCCTAGAAAAGAATACCATTTGAGCAAGAGTTAACATTTTGATTTGATAAACTATCAAGGTCGTACTTCAGAGAATATTCAGGAAATAAGATAAAGATAGTGTTTGGAGGTTGTTTGAAATCGAGGCCTTCTTATAGTAAGTGAATAGAATTGTTAATTTATTGAAACTGTATGCTTAGATTATTAAATGAATCCAGGATTCATATATGTTACTGTACAGTAATACTGATGTGGAAATAAGGTATTTGCTTGCCTGAGGACAATTTTCCTTGGTTAGCTGTTGACCACTAGCTTTAAGTTGCAGCATTCAACTGGGATGTTGTTTTGAAAGAAATCTGTATTTTCTTGACACAGAATGTCCTGTTGCGGAAACATGATAATGGCCGCTACACAGCGCTGATTGCTGACTTTGGTTTATCCATCAAGATCCCAGACCCACTGTAGGTAGACCTTCCTTGCCTTGCATGGTTTATTTGTTTGTTTGTTGTTTAATGCCTCACTCAGCAATATTCCAGCTATATGATGGCGGTCTGTAAATAATCAAGTCTAAACCAGATAATTCAGTGATTGCCACCATGAGCATTGATCTACTTAATTGAGATGCGATGATATGCATTAACCAGGTCAGTGAGCCTGACCACCCGATTAAAGGGAAAGTGTACATGAAAATTGTAACATTTTCTCTCGAAGTCATTGGTGCCAACCTTGGCAGACCTTTACCTGTCTGTACAGATGCTACAGTAGTGAGTTTATGTTTTAAAAATGCCAATGACCCCTACAACATGAGCATGTGCATTACCATATCAAGACTCAGATGTATCAAGTTTTCTATATGAATGTCTTTTGGGATACCACAATTCCTTGATATTTTGAGTCATCACTTGTTTCTGTAAAATATCAACACTGTTCAATTATCTTTTTTGTCAGATTGTGTTTGTGTAATTCTTGGAACATTATATCAAGGAATACAATATTATCATTTGATGGAGTTAAAAAGGTAATCAAATGTTGTCTTAGTCTCACCTGAGAGCATGTCTACCACCCTGTCGTACAACCAGGATGAAGGCCATGTAAATATATTTAGTAACAAGCAGCAGAATTAAGACTGCATATTTGTCACTGAAGTAGAGAGATCCATGCCTCAGGTGCACTTGCATCAACGTTTTGATCACACTGATGGCCAGATCAGTTGTCTTTTGTTTACAAACTCAAAATGATCTGAGAGTCCTGTCCCTTTTACAGTTGGCACTAATCACTTCATAATCAAAGGAAAGTGGTACTTCTCAATTTTACATCAAATTCTTGTAAAACTTATGATCTTAAAAATCAATTTGTGTGTAATTTATGAATTTAAGTTTTGTTCATACAAGTTAGTTTAATATATTTTACTGTTGAAAAGTGAAAGAAAATTAGTTCAGTTAATGTGTGAACTACCATTTTGAGAGTATACATGTTTTCTTAATCTGACGAACCCTAGTAATTTGTTATGACATACACTGAGACACAGACAGGGGTGTGACATACAGTGTGAGACAGACGTGTGTGTGACATACAGTGTGAAACACAGACAGGGGTGTGACATACAGTGTGAGACAGACGTGTGTGACATGTGACATACAGTGTGAAACACAGACAGGGGTGTGACATACAGTGTGAGACAGACGTGTGTGACATACAGTGTGAAACACGGCCAGGGGTGTGACATACAGTGTGAGACAGACGTGTGTGACATACCGTGTGAAACACAGACAGGGGTGTGACATACAGTGTGAGACACACGGGTGTGACACAGTGTGAGACACAGGTGTGACATACAGTGTGAGACACACACGGGTGTGACATAAAAAGTGTGAGACACACAGGAGTGTGACATACAATGTGAGACGCACAGGGGTGTGACATGAAGTGTGAGACAGGACAGGGGTGTGACATACAATGAAGCACACACAAGGGTGTGACATGAAGTGTGAGACACAAGGGTGTGACATGAAGTGTGAGACAGACGAGTTGATGTACTGTAGGAGGCACACACAGGGGTGTGACATGAAGTGTGAGACAGACACGTTGATGTACTGTAGGAGGCACAGACAGGGGTGTGACATGAAGTGTGAGACAGACGCGTTGATGTACAGTAGGAGACACAGACAGGGGTGTGACATGAAGTGTGAGACAGACACGTTGATGTACTGTAGGAGACACAGACAGGGGTGTGACATGAAGTGTGAGACAGACACGTTGATGTACAGTAGGAGACAGACAGGGGTGTGACATGAAGTGTGAGACAGACACGTTGATGGCCAGTAGGAGACACAGACAGGGGTGTGACATGAAGTGTGAGACAGACGCATTGATGTACTGTAGGAGACACAGAGAGGGGTGTGACATGAAGTGTGAGACAGACGCATTGATGTACTGTAGGAGGCACAGACAGGGGTGTGACATGAAGTGTGAGACAGACGCATTGATGTACAGTAGGAGAAACAGATAGGGGTGTGACATGAAGTGTGAGACAGACACGTTGATGTACAGAAGGAAACACAGACAGGGGTGTGACATGAAGTGTGAGACAGACACGTTGATTGACTGTAGGAGACACAGACAGGGGTGTGACATGAAGTGTGAGACAGACGCGTTGATGTACTGTAGGAGACACAGACAGGGGTGTGACATGAAGTGTGAGACAGACATGTTGATGTTCTGTAGGAGACACAGACAGGGGTGTGACATGAAGTGTGAGACAGACGCGTTGATGTACTGAAGGAGACACAGACAGGGGTGTGACATGAAGTGTAAGACAGACACGTTGATGTACAGTAGGAGACACAGACAGGGGTGAGACATGAAGTGTGAGACAGACACGTTGATGTACAGTAGGAGGCACACACGGGTGTGACATGAAGTGTGAGACAGACACGTTGATTTACTGTAGGAGGCACAGACAGGGGTGTGACATGAAGTGTGAGACAGACGAGTTGATGTACAGTAGGAGACACAGACAGGGGTGTGACATGTAGTGTGAGACAGACACGTTGATGTACTGTAGGAGACACAGACAGGGGTGTGACATGAAGTGTGAGACAGACACGTTGATGTACAGTAGGAGACAGACAGGGGTGTGACATGAAGTGTGAGACAGACACGTTGATGGCCAGTAGGAGACACAGACAGGGGTGTGACATGAAGTGTGAGACAGACGCATTGATGTACTGTAGGAGACACAGAGAGGGGTGTGACATGAAGTGTGAGACAGACGCATTGATGTACTGTAGGAGGCACACACAGGGGTGTGACATGAAGTGTGAGACAGACACGTTGATGCACAGTAGGAGGCACAGAGAGGGGTGTGACATGAAGTGTGAGACAGACGCGTTGATGTACAGTAGGAGGCACACACAGGGTTGTGACATGAAGTGTGAGACAGACACGTTGATGTACTGTAGGAGGCACAGACAGGGGTGTGACATGAAGTGTGAGACAGACGCGTTGATGTACAGTAGGAGACACAGACAGGGGTGTGACATGTAGTGTGAGACAGACACGTTGATGTACTGTAGGAGACACAGACAGGGGTGTGACATGAAGTGTGAGACAGACACGTTGATGTACAGTAGGAGACAGACAGGGGTGTGACATGAAGTGTGAGACAGACACGTTGATGGCCAGTAGGAGACACAGACAGGGGTGTGACATGAAGTGTGAGACAGACGCATTGATGTACTGTAGGAGACACAGAGAGGGGTGTGACATGAAGTGTGAGACAGACGCATTGATGTACTGTAGGAGGCACAGACAGGGGTGTGACATGAAGTGTGAGACAGACGCATTGATGTACAGTAGGAGAAACAGATAGGGGTGTGACATGAAGTGTGAGACAGACACGTTGATGTACAGTAGGAGACACAGACAGGGGTGTGACATGAAGTGTGAGACAGACACGTTGATTTACTGTAGGAGACACAGACAGGGGTGTGACATGAAGTGTGAGACAGACGCGTTGATGTACTGTAGGAGACACAGAGGTGTGCTAGATCATGTGTTAAACAGATCAAAATGTATGGTGAGGGAGGGATTAGCATTTTTGTGTCTTTTAAAACTGACATATAGTGTGTGTTCTTTCAGGAATGATAACCAACGACTACCGGTGGTGGGTTCCCCTTTTTGGATGGCGCCTGAGGCTCTTAATGGTCTCTATTACAATGAAAGGGTAAAATGCTTTGTAACATGTTTTCACAGATATGCATGTTATGATGGAATGAGGGGCTGTCGGGTAGCCTAGTGTTTAAAGCGTTCGCTCGTCACGCCGAAGACCCGGGTTCGATTCCCGACATGGGTACAATGTGTGAAGCCCATTTCTGGTGTCCCCCACCGTGATATTGCTGGAATATTGCTAAAAGCGGCGTAAAACCATACTCACTCACTCACTCACTATGATGGAATGATGATGGGTGATATATTCAGATATACTTCAAGTTTTATGGATGTGTAAAATCTGTTTGGTTAAGATTCATGATCACTCAAAGTAAAGGTGATGCTGTTTGTCATTGTTTGCAGTGTTTGAGTTTCTTGTATTGTATGCATATATATATACATGTATATCTATAGTTATAGTAGTGATAATGAATTTATGAGGAATACAACAATATGCTATGTTATGTTCTAATTTCAGGCTGATGTATTTTCTTATGGTATTATCCTGTGTGAGATTACTGCACGTATAGACTCTGATCCGGACAACCTTCCACGCACTAAGGTATGCAGAGTTATTCCCCTTTAAGACAAGTAGTACGAACCCTGCATGTGCTCACTGTCCCACATGATGAAGAACTTAACATCACATCTTGCACATGTTTTAATAATCATTGATCTTGAGCTAGATGCCAGCTAGAAAACATGTACTAACAATAGGAAAAGAAACAAATTAATCACAAATTGAAATTGTTTTCTTTCCAGAACTTTGGAGTGGACTATGTTGCATTCAGTGAGAAGGTTGTCTACTGCCCTCTGGACTTCCTACAGTTTGCCTTCAAGTGCTGCCAGGTAGTCCTCCCGTCCTGTAGTTTACTGTTGAATTATCCCGTAGTTTACAGTTGTGTCCTCCTGTAGTTAACAGTTGTGTTCTCCTGTAGCTTACAGTAGTGTTCTCCTGTAGTTTACAGTTGTGTCCTCCTGTAGTTAACAGTTGTGTCCTCCTGTAGTTAACAGTTGTGTCCTCCTGTAGTTAACAGTTGTGTCCTCCTGTAGTTAACAGTTGTGTCCTCCTGTAGTTAACAGTTGTGTCCTCAGGTAGTTAACAGTTGTGTCCTCCTGTACTTAACAGTTGTGTCCTCCTGTAGTTTACAGTTGTGTCCTCTTGTAGTTAACAGTTGTGTTCTCCTGTAGTTTACAGTTGTGTCCTCAGGTAGTTTACAGTTGTGTCCTCCTGTAGTTTACAGTTGTATCCTTCTGTAGTTAACAGTTGTGTCCTCCTGTAGTTTACAGTTGTGTCCTGTAGTTAACAGTTGTGTCCCCCTGTACTTAACAGTTGTGTCCTTCTGTAGTTAACAGTTGTGTCCTTCTGTATTTAACAGTTGTGTCCTCCTGTACTTAACAGTTGTGTCCTCCTGTACTTAACAGTTGTGTCCTCCTGTAGTTAACAGTTGTGTCCTCCTGTAGTTAACAGTTGTGTCCTCCTGTAGTTTACAGTTGTGTCCTTCTGTAGTTAACAGTTGTGTCCTTCTGTATTTAACAGTTGTGTCCTCCTGTACTTAACAGTTGTGTCCTCCTGTAGTTAACAGTTGTGTCCTCCTGTAGTTAACAGTTGTGTCCTCCTGTAGTTAACAGTTGTGTCCTCCTGTAGTTAACATGTTGTGTCTTCCTGTAGTAAACAGTTGTGTCCTCCTGTAGTAAACAGTTGTGTCCTCCTGTACTTAACAGTTGTGTCCTTCTGTAGTTAACAGTTGTGTCCTCCTGTAGTTAACAGTTGTGTCCTCCTGTACTTAACAGTTGTGTCCTCCTTAGTTAACAGTTGTGTCCTCCTGTAGTTTACAGTTGTGTCCTCCTGTAGTTAACAGTTGTGTCCTCCTGTAGTTAACAGTTGTGTCCTCATGTAGTTAACAGTTGTGTCCTCCTGTAGTTAACAGTTGTGTCCTCCTGTATTTAACAGTTGTGTCCTCCTGTAGTTAACAGTTGTGTCCTCATGTAGTTGACAGTTGTGTCCTGTATTTAACAGTTGTGTCCTCCTGTAGTTTACTGTTGAATTCTCCTGTAGTTTACTGTTGTGTTCTGTAGTTTACAGTTGTGTTCCGTAGTTTACAGTTGTGTTCTGTAGTTTACAGTTGTGTTCTCCTGTAGTTTACTGTTGTTTTGTGTTCTGTAGCTTACAGCTGTGTTCTACTCTGGTAAAATGCATTTTATCAAATTCGGAGAGGAAAGAAGGTCACTACGGGAAAGCTGTTTCTATTACATTCAAAACTGAAGTCTTTGTTTGTTTGTTTGTTGACCGCCTCTGTGGTCTAGTGGTAGAGCAGAAGGTCCGGGGTTCGATCCCCGGCCATGTGATACCAAAAACGTTAAAAGATGGTACTTGTTGTTACCCTGTCTGGCGCTCGGAATTAAGGGGCTAAAACAAGGACTGGCTGGCTCGTAGTCAGTATACTGTGTCTGAGTGGGATATTCATGTTAAACTGCGGCATGGTATCTCAGTGAGCTAGCACTTTAAATCGGCATCAGACTATCCACTGATCATGAGCTTCATTCTACGAAATTGGGATATGATGAACTGCATCAACCAATCCGATCCTGACCATCCGATTATGTTTAGCAATGGGTTGGTGAAGAGCAATTCTAACCAGGTTCTTCATGGGGACAAAACAGAACTGACCCCATCCCAACCTTTTCCTGAAGCCCCAAAACTTTCCCAACAGAAACATGAAACGTTTGACTTTACTAAGTCACAGGGATATGAGCAGGTTTTGCCCCCAAAATAGGGAAACTCTAAAAAAAATTAAACATTTGATTGCATTTTAAGCAATTTCATGCAGTTTGGACAACATTCACACCAAGAAATTTAATAAGTCAATCGCAAAAGTCAAGTCAATAAACGAAAATGGCGGATGCAGTAAAACTTCAAAGTAAAATCAGTACTTTTTAAAAATCGGGCATAGCTTCCGTGCACAAGGCTACCCACAGGGTCTGGGAGCAGTACTGCCATAAACTTCACCTCACATCCCCCAGACACAAGGACAACTGTCACAAGCGTGCAATGTCTGACCCTTTCCCCATGTTGAAGCAGATTGAAAAAAAATTACCTTGTATTAACTTACCTTTTGTTGAAAAAAACAAAACAACATTGCAAACATAAGACATTGATAAAACATATATCCCTGTGTTATGGGTTTTCAGAGGCTGAAGAAATATTCATAGTTTTCTTGCTAATCACATGAACAACTGTAAAAGATCTCATTCACTTATAGGATTTGTTTGTTTGTTTGTTGTTTAACGCCACACTCAGCAATATTCCAGCTAGATGATGGCAGTCTGTAAATAATCGAGTCTGGACCAGACAATCCAGTGATTGACATCATGAGCATCGATCCACTCAATTGGGATCAATGACATGCATCAACCAAGTCAGCAAGCCTGACCACCCGATCCCGTTAGTCAACTCTTACGACAAGCATAGTCACCTTTTACGGCAAGCATGGGTTGCTGAAGACCTATTCTACCCCGGATCTTCACAGGCTCACTGATAGGATAAAAGACTTTATCTTTTAAACACGAGTATTGACAAGTTCTGTGTGACGCCACACCCCACGTTGTAGTGCAAGTATTTGTGATAGAAAACGTATAATGTCCGAAAACCTATGATCCGACGAAAATAGTATTGTCATGATTAATAGTAAAGGCATGTACATGATGCTGAAAGATCTGATCGAAAACAGGACAATCAGTGACGGTTGTCAGGAAACACGATAATAATACGATAGTATTTTTTTTAAAATCTTTGATTATATTTTTACGAGGAAGATGACTACTGTGTTAAAAAATGCGATTTTCCGCATTTCCCCAGAGATTTCATATGCCTGAAGTCAGGTGACAGCTGACCCTACCCATATCTATCTATATTCATCTTTGAACCCTAAGTTATTCCTATGACTAGTTTGACTAATCACAAAGTAAGAAGCACTTCCAGATTGAGAATAAACAGATACCAAATGCAGTTCAACTTATTTACAGAAAGCTCCATGCCTCTAGCTACCCTGATAACAAAGTGTTACCAAGTGAAATTCTGAATTGAAGTGTGAATGTACAAAACTAAACATCAGTAAAGAACCACACAAGATCAATGCATAATTAACAAATTATATTGAAACACACACAGTTATGTTAACAAATCACAAGAGGCAATACAAGTAATACAGGTCAAATATATGTATGGCAGCAGCAATAAGCAACAGGCCCAATGTAGGTGGCATGTGCTCATTCTGCAACCCAGAAAACCGTGTTGGAAGCAGACAGGAAGTCAGTGTTTTCAGACAGGTATCCCGTCTGCACTCGGCATGTAGATAACATGCAAGGCAGGTCATAGAAGGCCTCTCGTCAGCCAGCCTTCCAGAAATTGTCACCTCGTAAAACTTGTATGATGTCGTCTGTCCTTAAGTTGACACAAAGACTCTAAACTCTAACGCCAAAGTGTTCTATTCATTTTACGGGTGCTGCTGCGAACAATAATCACTACCTACAACAATATACCCTGCCACAAGACAAAAGTCAAAGCCCAATCAAAGATAGCATGACACTGACGTTATTTGGAAGTTCGCCAAGACACCAAGCCCTAGAGATCATGCAGGAGAAGGTTCTCACTTAGTTGACGTTTGAAACATTGACTACATACATATTCAGGAGTGCTGCGGCACTATTTTTACATAAAATACAAATACCTGGTTGCTTAATGGTCTTGAAGCAGCAAGATACTAGCCATGTCAGATATCTATCCTGCTGTAATGTGTCTTCCCTGTTCCAGATTGAGGCAAAGAAGCGACCCTCCTTCCCAGAAATTGTGGAATCAATGGAGAAGATTCAGAGGAACTTAAATAATGAACTACTAAGTCAAAAGGAACGAGAAAAGAAAGGTGTTTATATGTCAACAATGCTCTCTAAAATATATATAAACAGTTGTTTTAGGTCTTTGAACAATTTCAAACAAACATCTTTGCTATCAAAGCTCATCTGGTCAAAGCCTCATTCCTCAGTAGAGCTCATACAATGGCATGTTATCCACCAATGTTTTGATTTAAAAAAGGTAACTTTGGGTGTCAGTGGATTTTGGTCATATTTGATGTTTAGATAGTCCCTTGTAACAGATTGGTCAAGTTATATAACCATATGTCAGTATGGGTGATCATTTTGTCCCAAAGGGCGATAGATCTCCTTTTCAAATGATATAAGTGATGGTCTAACCAGTCGCTTCCGGTCTGGTTCTCGGCTCAATGTAAACTGCAACAACTTGGGACATTGAAAATTGAAAATGAGCTTTATCTGTTGTAATCATCTGTTCATTGTCAAAGCAAACTGGATGTAGACACTGCAAGTCGCTAAAATGTAAATAATTTGAGGTTTACAACACTGTTAATACAATCATCATTATAGAGATTGAAAACTAATATGAATATATTGTTTTTAATTTCTGAGATGAAATCATATAATTGGTAATTAAACTTGAATATGTATTTAAACTATGTGTAGGCTTTATGAAAAAATATGGTTTTCCAATATTCATAATAGAAACATTGCCATCATAATACATGTACATGTATCTATCTTTTACTGATCCTAATTGAGATGTAATCATAGCAGTACCTGGCTACAAACAGCCACCAATCATCCATACAAACTTTTTATACACCATGCACCAACCCTTACAAATACCAAAAATGAATTTCAGTAATTTCCATTTCTTTTATTTTGAACATTGTATTGTGATATGTAGTTTGATGACATAATTTGTCGGTGCCTGTTTCTTTCACAATTTCTTGAACTTGTGTTACCTCTCTTACTTATATACCTAATAGATACATATACTTGTGTTGCTGTCAAAATTCACAATACTTATTGACAAACTTTACTTGTTGCTTAAGACCTTCACATTTCGTGTACCACATCACCTTGCCTTTTTATTGAAGTGCATATATATGTAAACTGTCTGTAGATGTGATAGTTACATATACTACTTGCATGTCACATACCATATGTGTTGTCAGTTACAGGGACAGTATGTTAACCGTTCTGAATTATGTTTGTAAACAGTAGCTGATAGCCCCCGAGCTCACTGGGCTCTGCTTCTACTTACTCTGCAGGCGACATTTTTGCTCCAGTGACCACACCACAAGTGTAGGCTTTTCTTGTGACAGGACTTTTCTCTTGTTTATAAACAAACACACACTTATTCTGAAATAACAACAGATGGGCCTAATGCAAGCCTTTCGTTGCGCTTTACGTATTGTTTTGCATAATTGTATAGATGTTCTACTACAACTGCGACAGTGAGGTGCATGACAATATGGCTTTGCACATCAAAGTGACCATATTGCTAGCTCCTTAGGACTTTGCTGACAGCAGATAGAAAGTGCCCACGAATGTTCGGTTACATGTTTTCTTTAAGTATTAATGTTTTATTCACTAAGCTTGGTATATGACTTCACATTGGAATTCGATAACTTCCTACACGAAAGTGCTTTGGTCAAAAATAGAGGAAATTCTAGTTTCTTAATTTCTCATTGCAGACTGGAATAGTTTAGTACTTTATCTTGAAGTTTGTCACCATTCTTGGGTTTTGTTCTATGAAATAAAAATAAAAAATGGAAAGTTAATCATTTTATTAAATGTTGGAAAAAAATGTTCAGCAAAAGAAAACTACATCTCCTGAGAAGGTATCAAAGTGTTGAAACTTTGTGATGTATAATTTGAACTGTTCTTTATTGCAACAGTGTTATACAATATTACATATAGCCTTCATTGTTGCAGATTAAAAATGATTGTTTAAATTTGATACTTGTGACGTATTTGTCAATACTTTCATACCCAGTATTAACAGAAAATAGTTGAATATCAATGCTGACAGAATATTTATTTAAAGTGTCTGTCTTTGGTGACATTTTAAACTGTTTATTACTAATAGCCAGGTGAGCTACAGTGCCATGGCACTTTGTTTTAGTATTTATATGAAGCTCACTAATTCCTAATGTTAATAATGATCGCAAAGAATGGAACAGTTATTGAAAGAGTGTTGTGATAAGACGTCTAGTTGCAGCTTTAATGGCTATGAGCAAATGACATTCACAAACATATGGCACACCACTTTGTCTGTACTTCGAGAAAAGAAACTTTGTTTTTATTTTTTTGTCCTATTCTATGAAAGTATTATGCATCCTAGGAAAACAGTAAACTTTCACCTAATGTATGGAAAATATTATGAATGGTTAACAACATAGGTAATTAAAATAATGTCTGGTAAAAACATATAGTACTTGTGTGTTTGGCTCACAGTAACAGCGAATGAAACCCATGAGTCTCAAACCCGTGGCTATGGGCTTCACCACTCACTCACCCTAAGCTACTGCAGAGATCACTTATAACTGGAACATCACCAGTGTTAACATTAGAAGAACATACTTATACATTTCTTTTACAAAACTTTCAGAAAGGAAGAAGGGCTGCAAGAGATCAAAATCTGAAGACAACATTCTGCAGGCCAATGACAGTTCGAGTGACATTGAAAACATGGAGGAGTCTTATCTTACACCACGTCTGATTGGTCAAGTGATGAGTCGAGATGATCCATACTACCAACCTTCACAGTCCAATCCCTTTGCATCCCATAAACGTTACAAGGATGGACACAAATTATTGGGAACATCCCGTGATGCAGCTGCCACCTATGACTTGCCTTCTCCCACGTACCCCTTCACCCCTCCCTGCACTCCCCAAACACCAGGGTCAACTCGCCCCAGAGCAATGTGGGGCCGCAACTGTCACTCACTCCCCTCATCTCCAGTGCTGCTACGCAAAGCTGCGGAGAGGCTTCACATGGAGTCCCTTCATGGCAGTGCCAAGTGGAACTCCACTCAACTCAACACAAGAACACGATCCAAAAGTGCAATTTTATCTGAGAGTGTGGCCATGAAACTTCAGTATGAGTGGAATGACTGCCCTGATCCCATCAGTGAGAGTAGTGATGAGTCTGACACTTTCCATAGTGAATGTGCAATAGAGTCCCAGTCGTCTCACACAGACTCTAGTCAGCAATCCAACACTGCGGCCCGCAGGCACCGCATGTTGTCTGGCAGGCAGCAAAGTCTAGACTCATCTTTTCTGTCCTCATATACAAAAACAAGCAACCTACTAGCTGTGGGGAACAAGCCACAACCCCAGCATTCTTCTCGGGACTTCAGCCCGACGCCTAGTGTACGCAGCTCATGTGAATCTTTTATGTCTATTGATGAACAATTTGTGTCTCCTGCCAGTTCCCTCTCCAGCTACAGTGAAACAAATGATTAGCTTCCCTTCCCTCAAATACATAGTCCATTTCTCCTCCACTCCAGTACTCCTGTATCAATCAAAATACCTGGAATGCGTGCTGTATCTGAAAGAAAGTGTTTTTTAGACTACCACTTTTGCAGTTACTGTTAGAATCGGGATGTGTGGATGCTGTATCGGTATGTGTTATTGTCTGGCATCCAGTCAGCTGAAGATGTAGGGGATCACTTCAAACATGTACAGGTCCACTGTATGTCTGTGGAGAAGGTGATACAAATTTAGTTATGTGCTTAGAATGAATGGTGAAATCATCTTTGTTGTTTTTGGTGTGTGTGAGGATGTCCAGGAACTGCTTTGTATATAATGGTTTTGTTGAAAGAAATGATCCTGCATCCAGTCATCACTGGGTGCCAGGGAGCTTCAGTTTCCCCATCCACCTGGTCTTCATCATCTCCAGCTTACCTCCTGGGCTGTCATGGAAACTACCCTGTCACCATCAGGGGGTGACAGTTGATTCTGTGAACACATGTAGATGCCCAGATTCGGTACAGCCGAGGTGTACAGTAGGATGTACAGCATGATTTCGTTCTACATAGGAACATAAACCTCTTTGTGAATGATATGCCATTTTAGAGCCATTTTACTGTTAACATATGAAGATATTAATCTGTTCATATCTATAATGCATATTTTTTTATATCCCTTTTCCCTTTATATATTGCATCAATCAAATTGCTAAAAGTATTCCAAATGGATGAACATATTTATAGCACATAGCCAGTATTATTTTATGTACAGATATATTTCAGAGTTCACTTCTTATATTTACATAGTAGCCAATGTAAAACTTATGGTTCATTAATATACATTTCCACACATGTTAAGAAGATTACTTACATTATGTCTTTCATAGAATATTAACAAATTTAATTAACAAGTTTTATGTTTTATAGACCGAACTGTTATCTTGTTCCTGTGGCTATTGAGATTTAGCTATTCAGTTTGATCATTGTTCAGGACTGGCTGATAAAAATGCTGTACGCCATGTGTTACCTTCTGTGGAAAGGAAGGGGTGTATCTGCAATAATGACAGTGAAATATGGGGGGAAGAAGACACAGTGCAAGCTGCTACAAATTCCTGACACTTGCTGTTCACTGATGTGTCCTCCACCTACATGGTATCTGTTCCCTCTGTAACATTGACTGTATATTGTTGGTGTTTACATGTTATCATCGCCATTCATTCCATTTGTGTATGACAGCTCTTACTGTCCTTGTTTACAATGTATCACTCCCTGGCCACTCTTACTGTCCTTGTTTACAATGTATCACTCCATGGCTACACTTACTGTCCTTGTTTACAATGTATCACTCCATGGCCACTCTTACTGTCCTTGTTTACAATGTATCACTCCCTGGCCACTCTTACTGTCCTTGTTTACAATGTATCACTCCCTGGTCACTCTTACTGTCCTTGTTTACAATGTATCACTCCCTGGTCACTCTTACTGTCCTTGTTTACAATGTATCACTCCATGGCTACACTTACTGTCCTTGTTTACAATGTATCACTCCCTGGCCACTCTTACTGTCCTTGTTTACAATGTATCACTCCATGGCTACTCTTACTGTCCTTGTTTACAATGTATCACTCCATGGCCACTCTTACTGTCCTTGTTTACAATGTATCACTCCCTGGCCTCTCTTACTGTCCTTGTTTACAATGTATCACTCCCTGGCCACTCTTACTGTCCTTGTTTACAATGTATCACTCCCTGGCCACTCTTACTGTCCTTGTTTACAATGTATCACTCCATGGCTACACTTACTGTCCTTGTTTACAATGTATCACTCCATGGCCACTCTTACTGTCCTTGTTTACAATGTATCACTTCCTGGCCACTCTTACTGTCCTTGTTTACAATGTATCACTCCATGGCTACTCTTACTGTCCTTGTTTACAATGTATCACTCCCTGGTCACTCTTACTGTCCTTGTTTACAATGTATCACTCCATGGCTACACTTACTGTCCTTGTTTACAATGTATCACTCCCTGGCCACTCTTACTGTCCTTGTTTACAATGTATCACTCCCTGGCTACTCTTACTGTCCTTGTTTACAATGTATCACTCCATGGCCACTCTTACTGTCCTTGTTTACAATGTATCACTCCCTGGCCTCTCTTACTGTCCTTGTTTACAATGTATCACTCCCTGGCCTCTCTTACTGTCCTTGTTTACAATGTATCACTCCCTGGTCACTCTTACTGTCCTTGTTTACAATGTATCACTCCCTGGCCACTCTTACTGTCCTTGTTTACAATGTATCACTCCCTGGCCTCTCTTACTGTCCTTGTTTACAATGTATCACTCCCTGGTCACTCTTACTGTCCTTGTTTACAATGTATCACTCCCTGGCCACTCTTACTGTCCTTGTTTACAATGTATCACTCCATGGCCACTCTTACTGTCCTTGTTTACAATGTATCACTCCCTGGCCACTCTTACTGTCCTTGTTTACAATGTATCACTCCCTGGCCTCTCTTACTGTCCTTGTTTACAATGTATCACTCCCTGGCCTCTCTTACTGTCCTTGTTTACAATGTATCACTCCCTGGCCTCTCTTACTGTCCTTGTTTACAATGTATCACTCCCTGGTCACTCTTACTGTCCTTGTTTACAATGTATCACTCCCTGGCCACTCTTACTGTCCTTGTTTACAATGTATCACTCCCTGGCCTCTCTTACTGTCCTTGTTTACAATGTATCACTCCCTGGTCACTCTTACTGTCCTTGTTTACAATGTATCACTCCCTGGCCACTCTTACTGTCCTTGTTTACAATGTATCACTCCATGGCCACTCTTACTTGATCTTGTCTTTTAGCACATTTATACAAGAAACAGGTCTATGTGTCTTGACAGGTCCAGAAAGGACAAGCAAGTCTGAAACACATTGACATAGAGATAGGAAAATGTGGCTTGTGAGAACAGATTACAAATGTTCAGAAGAAAATCAGGGGAGACCTACCTGCAACAACTGATGGAAAAAGACATTGTATTCAGCATTATGCATTAGGGAATTTATAAGGCTTTCTCAGAGGCTGAGGTCTACTGCAAATTTCAGTAAAATTTCCCAAATGTTAAACCAAAAATTTCCAAATGCAAACTAATGTTTTTGCTATGCAAAGGTGATTTCAATTATGATGGAATCAATGGAGAGAAAAAGACTTTTATTGTTGATTTTCCATTATTCTTAGGAACCTTGGACATCAACAAAATAAGGACTGGGAAAGATAAATCCCAGGACATTAGCACACTGTTATTGGTGCAGGGGTCAAGGGTTGTACCTCAGATCTGATTTGGCACATGTTGGTTTAACTTGAAGAAGCTCATCACTACTACATGTATATATATTAATATTTAGTGTGGCATTTTGGAGGATCATAAGACATCTTGCATTGACAATATTTGGAATGGTATTCAAGAAGAAATCTCATAAACAATGAAATAGGCAAACATTTCCAAGGAAAGGTAACCACAGACCACTGGTTACATCTGGTCCAGAACTAAAGTCAATTGTCAGTGTCAATCTTCCAGGATATATTGATTACATCCAATAAAGAGGAGGCATATCAACTGTGTGTCTTCATGGATAAACTAATATCAACTCTAAGCATTTATTGAGTTTGTCAAAGTATATCTGAGTTTAGTATGTAAAATTGAGCCATGTATTTGTGATCTGTGAGATGTTTGAGATACAAGTTTCCTTGTGTGATGAGTTTAATAGACCAGGGCCATTTGCACAACACAGACATATAGCTGCTATGGTTTTAAACATTTTAGAAAGTTTGGCCTTGGATAAGATTTTACTATTCTTTTGCACAAAGTAATTGTTGACTTAGATCATTGTAGGCTAACATCAAAATGTTGCAAGTGGTTTAGACCAGCAGATGGGCTTGGATAGTTGAAAGTATCATTTTCATACTACTCCTTGAAGAAAGAAGTCAAATACAATATGTTCTTTTTCTGTATATTTAAGAGTCAGCAGTAACAAGTTAGCAAGATTATCCTAGGAGATAACACTCCATAACTGAACCTTTCAACCATAATCTCTGGGAGTGCTTTTCCTTTCATCTTCCACAGCTAGGCTCTTTTGTTTTATAGTGTTTATGAAAATAATCTTTTAATTCTTCCTTGTCATCTTTTATCCTGAAGTTTGTTATGTTTGATCTCTTCTACAATATTCTTTTTTATGCACAATTATGTGTATTTCTAATTTCTCCCTGTCAAATATGTTGTGCGCTTTTACTTACTTTCTGCAACACTAAGGTTCCCATGTGAAACAATGGAAAAGTGGCAACCACTGTTTGCATCTCATTTTAAATTTGGGTCTAAAACTAAGGCTTTCCTTCACATTATTTCAAATTTGATTTCTTTGACAGCAAATAAATTGTGATGAGTGTGATGAAGGTTTTCCCTTTTGCCCCTGTGGGTACACATTCATCTGTTACAGTGGGTACACATTCATCTGTTACAGTGGGTACACATTCATCTGTTACAGTGGGTACACATTCATCTGTTACAGTGGGTACACATTCATCTGTTACAGTGGGTACACATTCATCTGTTAGAGTGCGTACACATTCATCTGTTACACAGGAGTCCAATCAACAACTTTGTCACAAACTGATTCCTGTTCAAGTCATCTGCTGATTGAGCTAATGTTTTTTTGTGCAAGCAGAATAAGGGTGAGCTGTAGTAATTTTTGAGTCGCAGTGCCTAAGCCTGAGAGTAACAAAAACTACTTTGGGCAAGAAGGTGGTGCTGTGTTGACAGGACAAGTATGATGTGTATTTCTGTGTCGGGAGGATCACAGTGAACATGGTTGCAGCAACAGATGAGTGCAGGGAGATTGCTTATTTATTTTATAATGATTAGCCATCTTATCATGTTATATCCATTATTTTAAAACTATATACAGTTTCTGGTTTTAGTCTCTGCGAACCTTGCATGCCCCCTGTAGGAATGTTGTGGCAGTACCTGCTTGTTCCACACCCACTGTATAGCACACAGGTTACACGATACACTGCTCCATGTATTGATCAGCATGCCTTTCACCTTCACAGATAATATCACAGTTGATGTAATGATGTACTGGTATGGCCAATGACAGCAAGTTTCATCAACTGGCTGCTGTATTTTTAGTTCCACTTATCAACAAAGTAAAATGGAACTCGTATTTTATAACAGGGCTGTTTAGTGCATGTCTTTAGTCTAGAGTTTGTTTCATTTTCACCATTTGGGTTTCTGACTTTACAAACCCAGTAACATTCTAGAAAGCAAGACGCAACTCATGTCAATCTTTCCTCTTGATACATATCCTCTTTATGCTCAGTTCAATTATATCATTGCACTGTCAACAATTATACACAATCACATTTTTGCCTCATGCCTCATTCTATGTAGTTTTTAGGGCTGGGACGGGTAACTCGGGTACCCGGGTCGGGTGGGTACTGAGTAGGACCCGGGTACCCACAGGACTACTCGGACCCGTGGTTAGTCATGTGATATATAGTTTAATGACAAAAACTATCTAGAACTATATGGTTACACTACAAATCACCAATGTTCGCATTTCTTTCTGACTATGCAACCATTCCTTCTGACTTTTCATGTGGTTAAATAAAGATATAACTTAAGTCAACTTCAGTATGATCAGATTGTTTAAAACATTATCTAAATACGTTTTGCAAGTGCTGTGGTAAAAAAAATCCCAATCGGACATTTTGTATC